TATGAAAGTAGACATATGAACAACAGGTCGAACAATTTAATACTATTTTTCATTTAATACAAGACCAATGAGCCATTGTAACTATTTACATTATTCGAACTTTTTTTTCCTCATCTTTATTGCAATATTCACGATGTTTCGACCGTTTTACGGTCCTGTCTTCTTCAGGATTTGTCTATATTTCTGAGATGAGCTATTGTAACTATTTACATTGTTTACATTATTCGAACTTTTGTCTTCATCTTTATTGCCATATTCTCGACCCGACCTTTCGGCCGTTGTACGTCCCGCCCTTCTTCAGGATCTGTCTATATTTCTGAGTTGAGCTATTTTGACTATATGCACTAATTACATTATTCGGACTTTTGTCCTCATCTTTATTGAAATATACACGACCTTTCAACCGTTCTACGCGCCGGCCTTCTTCAGGTGAAATATGTCTGAGTTTCGAACCGTAGCCTTTATTTAGTCCCAATGGACACGTGGCTCAGTGGATAAAAGTGTTGGTTGATTGATCCAAAAAGGTGACTTGACCCAAACAGTTGTGAGTTCAATCCCTGGGCTCAGAGATCTGGAGAATTATCAAGGCGAATTAAATAAAAACTGGAATATCGAGAAAAGGCGTGAAATTCCAAATACTATCACCTGAAGATGGCCGGAGCATACAACGACCAAAACATCAGGATGTGAGGTAAAGATACGAACAACAGGCCGAACAATTTAATGCTACTGTTCATTTAATACAAGACCCAAGAGCCACTCGATGTAGAGATATGAAGTGTAATTCTCCTCGATAAGTTTTTTGTCATGTAACCAAAATATAAATTTAACTTTTTTGTCACAGATACAGTTTTCTAAACGGCGCTTTATAAGGAAGCCCTTTATATAAAAATTACAACCAACACGATATAAAATTATGAGTATAGTAACAATGTTTTAAAATATATAAATTGTAATTGTTAGGAATAAAAACTAGAATTATAACAGAATGTTTTAAAACAAGTAATTACAATTTTCAATAAAAATTTTAGAATATAAACTTAGTTACCTCCCTTACATAGCGGTAAAGATTTGAATTAACAGAGCGCGTTCATGCGCATGCCCGAATATATTTCTTATTCATGTAGGCGTCGCTGCCCTTTTCGAAATGACGAAAAGCGTGACGTATTTTTCCATTCTGATAGAATATATAAGTCTACCGATATTTTTTTTAAAAGTGAAAAAAACAAAAAAAAAAATTTTAAAAAATGTCGGCCCTGGAAAAGATAATTGTCAAATGTTACACATCTATGATTTATTGTCGTTGTCTGAAATATTAATATAAAAATGGTTGCAGGGATAAAATTAGTCACCGCCCGCTTCCCAAGGGAGAGATTGTCGATTAACTCCGCGGGTTTTACAAACTAGTCTGGACCACCCTGGGCGTATAGCTGACGGCAGAATAGACAACGTCGTCTTAGACGCCGCTTCGTTAAAATCTGTGACGTAAACGACACATCCCCATTGTTAGAAAACTGGCTCCATATTTTAAGTCAAAGAACCATAAAAAAAATCTTCGGGAAATAGTGATATTCTAAAACCCCACACAAGGCTCGAGTGCCACTCAATGTGAAGGTTTGACTGAAAAAAAAAAGATTGGTAACTACGTCTCACCATTTTACTTTTGACCTTTGTTAAATACAACTCAATGTTCTGTTGTTATAATTTCTTTCCTTGCAATTCCCAACTGTGAAACTCCCTTTCGATTTCTAGCTTTCCTGCCAACTGTCTTTATGAGGTCTGTTCTTTTATTGTCCTTTCTCCTCATTGCTTCTCACTAAAGTTTTCTAATTCTATTTAACTCCCAGTAACCCCTTGCGTCCTAGTGGCAATGGCGCCATACTTTGGGTGAAATGGTAATTTTTTTCAGTAATGATGCATGAGGTGGATGGCACGAATAAAAGAAGTGGTAGGATGTGAAGATTATGAGATACTGTAGTGAGTGAGAAAGAATATTAACCTTCTTTGCCCACTAACTTCAAATTCGGAGGACTGAAGAATAAGAAGGAACTAAATTCTCTAGCCTATGTCAGATTTTCGCCTTTCACAGTAATTAACCAGTGAGCCGAGAAGAAGAAGGAAAGTAATTCGCGAGCCTACGTGATATTTTCTTTACACCAATGAAAACCTTGCCTTCACAGAAATTGATTGGTGAGCTGATAAGAAGAAGGAAAGAAATTCGCAAGCCTACTCGAAATTTGTTTTTATATAAAATGAGGAGAAAAATTAGATTAATCAGGAGAGTGCAGAAAGTCATGTGAAAAGTTTCGTTTCAGTCCATCGCGATCAGCGCTGACGTTCTCGTCAGTGTAAAATTAATCGTCAATTATATTATTGGCCTCTAACCAGCACGCGGGTCTTCAAAGTATTTCTCTCACCAATCCAAGAATTTCAAACAATTTCTGTTTATCTATTTTTGAACGTATGCAACCGTATATCCTTTCTGTGAGCAAAAAACTCTCTTACCTTTTTTAAAAATAGTTTTGAATATTATTTTGTGCCAGATCATTTAACCTGTTGTATGAACATTTCCTTTTCATTGACCATAATTTAAACCTACGAACTTTAAATGTTTCTGATTTATTTTCATGAAACTAACTACCGACACTACTTCATGCGTGTAAATTTGTAAATAAATCCGTTGTCTTGTTTTGTTAAAATCACCCGTGTGTTTCCTTGTCGTTATCATCCTTCATTAATCTTCTTGGCGTGGGGAAATTAATTTTTCAATTTTACCCCTAATCCTCACATCATTATAAAACCCTTCTTTGCTCAAGCTCTCTAGGTAGGTTACGCGTTCTTTTCCTCTGTTCCTTTTGTCTTCAATCCATAATGATGGAAAGAAATTTGCGAGCCTGTGTGAAATTTTCTTTGGACCAATGAAAACCTTGCCTTCACAGAAATTAGACATTGATCCAAGAAGAAGAAAGAAAAGAAAATAACGAATCTATGCGAAATTCCTTTTGATATAAAATGAAGAGAAAAATAAAATTAGGAAGAAATCAACAATTCAAGGAAGCTAAGTATTTGAAAGTATCTCTCTTCGTCTACCTTTGAACGTATGCAAATCATATATCCCTACGGTGAGCATTAAACTCTTACCTTTGTTTTAAACATCTTTTTGAATATTATTTTATGCCAGATCATTTAATCTGTTGTATAAACATTTCCTCTTCATGACAACATGTTAAAACTACAGACTAACAATTCTGATTTATTTTCCTGAAACGAGCCACTGACACTACTACAAGCGTGTAAATATGTACATAAAGCTGTTATTTTGTTTTGTTAAAATCACCCGTGTGTTTCCTTGTCGTTATCATCCTTCATTAATCTTCTTGGCGTGGGTAAAAAAAAATCATTTTAATCGCTAAGCCCCCCGCCATTATTAGGATAAGGAGGCTTGACTTTTGAATTGAAGACGTTAAGATTGTAGTATTCCTTGAAGCACCCTCTCGAGTGAACCTGCTGTGCCTTTGTCGTATTTGGTGACGTGTAGCCTCATAGATTAATGCGTGAAGTGAATATCTGGTTCCTTGTCAGTCGCGAGTTCAATACCTACATGTGGGTAGAGGTGAAAAACTGCAAGAAACAGACAAGCAAAACGACTTTGGATAAGACTCGTGAGTATGGTGATTTTCTAAGCGTAGCTTAGAAGTGGCACAAGGCCGAAAGTATGGGGGTCACCTAGCGATGATACTGTTGAGTGTGAATTTATATTAAATATCCGTTAAACATTAGAAGAATAACGGGAACGAATCGTTACTCGTGGGCTGAACGAAGTGCTCGGTTCAGAATTCCGAGTAAGGTCACGAGGGCGACGACAGACATTTGAGGAAGGCTGGATTTTGATCTATTGGTTTTTGTTTTTTTAAGGCTTATCAAATCATTGCAAGTAATTCAAAGGCAGAAAATATCAGATTGTAAGAATATTTTTTTGTAGATAATAATGTCTGGGAATTGGTCGGAACCACATACAAAAATAAAACTATATACGAATCCAATAGTTCCAATATGCAAATCACTTCCACAATTATCTCCGTTCCTCAATCTCAAATACGCAACTCCTCTTCAGAAACGAGCCTCTCGTTGAATGACCGTGCGGTGCTTTTATGCACCTGACCCAGCCATCGCTCAGCCAATGAGATCCCAGAACCAGCCAATAAAAAGGGCTACAAGTGACACCACCACTTCCGTCCACAGGAAGTACATTATAATTTTTTACGTCATGGGGTGTTTTGTAAGTCTCTTTTGCATATGTGGTATTGTGGTACATGTAAGATTGTGAGGGCATGGAGAAGTTCTTGTGGTGATTGAATAAATTGTATTGAATGAATCGGTCGCGACTGTGATTAAATAGGACTAGGATAGTCAATGAAGTTCAGCCTTTACTCATTTCCCCTTCGGTCTTGTGCTATAATTTTCTGTATTTTTACAAAGAACAAATGCACCGTCCACAAGATGTGCTGCCCGATTCACCTTCAGCCAGAAGTCCGCCAATTCACCGTTTCCATACTCCACTGCAAAACATACACGCGACACGGGCCCTTTTGGGTCGGCGAGGTAAGTCTCCGCTACAAATAATTATTTACGAATACAAGTGTTTGTGTCTAAGTGAATATAAATGAACCCAACTGGTGTTCGAACTCGGGTCTCCGATTAACAATTCCGAGCCATTGTCCATTACACCACCGGCAGATCCAAGCTTACAGCAGCTGTTATTCCCAAGCGGTCACCCATCTAGGTACTGACCAGGCTCGACGTTGCTTACCATAACGATCACAACCCATGAAATAGTCTTTCTATTAGATCGATGCATTCCGTGGAATCGGAAGTTAGAAGACGGTTTCTAAAGAAAATTAATAGGAAGTAAGTGAATTTAAAGTACCCTACAGGAACTGGGACGGCTCTCTAATTAACACTTCCGAGCCATTATCTATTACACCACCCGCACATCCGAGCTTACAGCACCTGCCATTCACAAGTGGTCACCCATCTAATTAACAACCATGCTGGACGTTGGTTAACTTCGGTGATCTTACGGTATCTGGTGTTTCAACGTGATGTGGTCATACGTCTAATACATTTATTATAGTAAAAAAATCACCAAAAATAACTATGTTAAAATCCTTAGTAATACATAGTGATACAAGTTTTACTGATTAACCCATAGATGTAGGGAGTAGACGTAGATTAATTCCTTTACCAAGGTTTAATTTACGTAAGTGAATATAACGAACCCAACTGGAATTGGAACTCTACTCTTCGATTAACATTTCCGAGCCATTATTCATTATACCGCCCGAACATTAAAGCTTACTGCACCTGGTATTCTTAAGCCGTCACCCATCTAGATACAGACCAGACTCGAAGTTGCTTAACTTCGGCGGTGGTAAGGAAACCGGTTTTTCAACGTAATTTGGCCGTAAACCAATTATATCACCAAAACTTCTAGGACATTGTATTTTCAAACAGTTATCCGTCGAGGTACTGACCAGGCTGGACGTTGCTTAACTTCGGTGATCGTACCGGAACCGATTTTCCAACGTGATTTGGCCGTAAATGCATTATACCACACGCGCATCCAAGCTTACAGCATTTGGTATTCTTAAGCTGCCCCCCCCCATCTAGGTACTGATCAGACTCGACGTTGCTTAACATCGGCGGTGGTACGGGAACCGGTTTTTCAAAGTAATTTGGCCGTAAGCCCATTATATCACCCAAGCTTATAAGACATTGTATTTCCAAACAGTTACCCGTTGAGGTACTGACCAGGCTGGACGTTGCTTAACTTCGGTGATCGTACGGTAACCAGTGTTTCTGAGGAAACATCCTGGTCAGAACAATGGCCGAAACGTTGTGTGTGTAACAACCAAAAATACTGGTCCGAATAGAAAGGCATATAACATTTATTTTCTTCTTCATTACATTAAAAATAATAGATATCTCGATGGGTCTGTTTCAAGCTTATAATTTGAGGAGAGCATTTTATAGGTTACTCTTTTACACAGTTAAAGATTATGCCGTCATAGTGTCTGCGTGACACTTATAATGAACTACTGTAGGCGGAGATCATCCCCCCAGTTACGCAGCTGAGTAGGGCGGTAAATCTAATATTCGGCTGTAAATTCACCCCGTTATTACAGCCGTTCGCTAAATTATTCTGCACAAAAACCGTTGTTATTCATTAGGGCAAAAAGCGCTTTGTTTACAGTTCAAAATGGCTGTATATTCCACGATCAACAAGAATTAACTTTTACTCTTAATTTCCTTAAGCTTTTAAAAATATATATGATTTAGACAAACATTTTCTTAATGTCTTTTCTTTTCAAGACACAAGTGATTATAGCCACCCACAGCATCCCTTTATAATATCTGTAAATTGCCAGGCTCTTTTTTTTTAAACACTATTGTTCACCGTCTGTCTATATTTCTAAGATGAGTCATTGTAACTATTTACACTATTGACATTATTCGAACTTTTTCCTTATATTTATTGCGAATATTCACGATGTTTCGACCGTTTTACGTTCCGGTCTTCTTCAGGATCTGTCAATAATTCTGAGATGAGCTATTGTAACTATGTACATTATTTACATTATTCGAACTTTTGTCTTCATCTTTATTGCCATATTCTCGACCCGATCTTTCGGCCGTTGTACGTTCCGGCCTTCTTCAGGATCTGTCTATATTTCTGAGCTGAGCTATTTTGACTATATACACTAATTACATTATTATTTATTGCAATATACACGATGTTTCAACCGTTCTACGCGCCGGCCTTCTTCAGGTGATATATGCCTGAATTTCGAACCGTACCCTTTATTTAGTCCCCATGGACACGTGGCTCAGTGGATAAAAGTGTTGGTTGATTAATCCAAAAAGGTGACTTGACCCAAACAGTTGTGAGTTCAATCCCTAGGCTCAGAGATCTGGAGAATTATCAAGGCGAATTAAATAAAAACTGGAATATCGAGAAAAGGCATGAAACGTGGAATTAGAACAATCTACTGCCGTTCGGATCGAAATTCTAACTAGTATAATCTGAAGATGGCCGGAGCATACAACGGCCAAAACGTCAGGAATGTGAGAGTAAAGATACGAACAACAGGCCGAACAATTTAATGGTACTGTTCATTTAATACAAGACCCAAGAGCCACTAGATGTAGAAATATCAAGTGTAATTCTCCTCGATAAGTTTGTTGTCATGTAACCAAAATATAAATTTAGCTTTTTGTCAGAGATACAGTCTTCTAAACGGCGCTTTATAAGGAAACCGTTTAAATAAAAATTACAACCAACACGATATAAAATTATGAGTATAGCAACAAGATATATAAATTGTAATTGTTAGGAAGAAAAACTAGAATTATAACAGAATGTTTTAAAACAAGTAATTACAACTTTAAATAAAGAATTTTAGAATATAAACTTAGTTACCTCCCTTACATAGCGGTAAC